AAATTACTTGGGGTTCTTTCATCAATTCCCACATAGTGAAGGAACCCAAACCCAACCAATTCCTTACGAATTACGTCCTACATTCTCATTTTTAAGATTCATAGTTGTGGGCCAGTGCCTGGTCTCACAAGATAAAGGTCTGGTTCGTGCTTTTGTGTCTACCTCTGATCCTCCAACCTGTAACTTCTTGGGTAGTAGGAGTATATTCGTGAATTTTAACCCTGACGAAGTTTTGGGGTTGAAGTCTGGGAATTAACAGAGGCACCGCCTCTTATCTTGTTTTAGGGGTGGGTTTGAAGCACTTTTTCTGCACTTACATAAAGGATATGCTATTTCAGGGAGTCTACTTTCGTATGTCTAAAGAAGTAAAAGAACCCTCTCCCTTCCGCTCCTGGCTCAACGGTTCTTTTATCTTCCTCCAGTTCTCCTTCTATTGAGAGCGCTACTATGATAACACTAGGGAATACGGCTTTATTATGGAATTATAATCTTACCAGGGGTACATGGGGCGAACATACAGGTATATTATTCAGTCTGAGACAATGAGACAACGGAGACCCTTTCTCATGAACTCTCCTAATCTTGGTATAAATCCATGTAGGTAGATGTCGTTCCTTCCTCACGCTTCCTTACCAACACCTAATCAAGAAAGGGCCTTTAACTTTCTTTAAATTGGAAAGGGAACAGCTTCTCAACTCGATCTTGCGCGCTGTTAGTTGAGGGGCATAATTGTAAAACAATAATTAGTTAGTGGACTTCAAAATATGGGCTTTTACCACATAGGAAGGGAACCCAAACCCAACAATTCCTTAGATTAGTCTAATCTCATTTTTAAGATTCATAGTTGTGCTGCTTCATAAGTGTTTTTTCATGAATCCAACCTTAACTTTGTAGAGATTATTCGTGATTTACTGCCATTGTACCTTTTGTTTATTAAACTTTGAAAAATATGTAGTTCTTTCGTGTAAAAGTACAAAGAACCCTCTCCCTCGTCTAATTTTATCTTCTCCAGTTCTCTTGTACTATGTAAATTAATACTAAGGAAATATACAGTACAGAAATAATATTTCGGTAACAAGAAGGAGCTTTCTCATGAATCTCCTAATCTTGGTATAAATGTTTAATCTACCTTCAACTAAAAGAAAGGCTTATCTTTTTAAATTGGAGAAAGTCATGCACACACAAAATGACAGCAAGATGATGCAGATATACATTTCAAGAATTGTAGAAGTCCCCAGAAAAAGAAAAAAAGGAAAAGGGAAGTTAAAGATAGAGGCTAGCTAACAAGAATCTCCATTAACAAAAAAAAAAAAAAATGATCAGAGCTCTTGATAGTTATGCAGTGTTTTTTCTCGCACTGATCTCATTGGCTATGAATCATCAATCTTGTTTTGGTTTCTGTATTACGCCAGACTATCGTGTGCACATTGTCAACGACTTGAGTGATAATAAAGTTCTTTGGCTTAGCTGCTGGTCTGCTGACGATGATCTGGGTAACCATTTACTATCTTCACGTCAAGATTTTTATTTCGATTTTTGTTTGAACATTTGGTTAACCACACGTTTCTGGTGTAAGTTCGATTGGAATAACCATCAGTATGGTGGCACATTTGCAATATTTTGGGTGGGGTCTAGGTTTTTACGTATGTGCCGATTATCAAACTGTTTTTGGTCTGCAAGAGATGATGCTATTTACTTGTTCGATAATAATGTTGACAGTTTTGTTAAAAAATATAATTGGGATGCTTGGTGGGTTCAACCTCAAAAAGGGATATCTAAACATCGCAATAGAGATTAAGGAGTCCTTTATTTGTACTGATTACTGAATTCTTAATGTTTAATCTACCTCAATAACTGATTGTTGAATTCCCAAAAGCCTACAAAATTTCAGGTATTCTAATATATTAGGATATCCGTTGAGCAGTATTATATCAATCATGTAAATTTATTTTTATGTTTGAAACAGGTAAAAGTAAATAATAAGATGTGAATGAGAGTGATTAATTAGATAAAATTATAAAATAATTGTTACAAATTTGCCCAAGAATTGCAATAAGAAACAATGTTAAGATATTATTTTAAAAAAATACAAAACATAAGTGACTTAACATGTTTCAATTTCTTTTTTTTTTCCTGACACTTAATCTGTTAAACTCGAGACAGGTTTAACTCAATTTATTCTGTATGGGATTAAAGAACCATTTGTTATAGCTAGTCTAACCTTAACCTAAGGTATAAAAGAATTAAACAAACGGATGTAACAAATTCTTTTGAAAAATCAATTTGACGCCCTTTCGGTAAATATTTTTGCACCTATCTTTTGGTAATTTTCGTTTAAAAAAAAAAAAAAAAAAGAGACACAGAAGTGAAAGGTATATAGAGACTACCTAGCAACTACATATGACTATAATAACAATCTCCATTAACATTAAACAAAAAAGAATGATCAGAGCTCTTAATAGTTATGTGGTGTTCTTGTTTGCGCTAAGCTCATTGGTTATGAATGGACAATCTTGTTTTGGTTGGTGTTTGAAAGAAATATATTGTGCACATAATCAACAACTTGAGCAACAATCAAGTTCTTGGGCTTAGCAGCTGGTCTGTAGATGATGATCTAGGTAACCATGTACTATCTTCATCTCAAGAATTTAAATTTAGGTTTTGTTTGAACATTTGGGGAACTACACGCTTCTGGTGTCATTTTGGTTGGAATAACCAAGAGTATGGTGGCATCTGGAGTATTTTGGGTGGGGACTGAGTTTTTACGTATGTCTGGTAATGGAAACTGCGTTTGGTCTGCAAGAGATGATGCTAGTACTTGTTGGATTCTGATACTGGAAATTTTGTTAAAAAATATATTTGGGATGCTTGGTGAGTTTAACCTCGATGAAGGATATGTAAACATGGCAATAAAGATTAACTTTTTTGTTATTAATGATTTTATTGTAGAAATAAAATATTGTTAGCCACAAGTTGTGGCTCAATTGATAAAGCAGACTTAATATATGAAAAGAGCTTTCGGGTTCGATCACCACTAAACACAACTGCAGGAAGAGGCGATGAACTTTAACTGTGGTTAAATCCTAAACCGGATTAAGCAATCTTTAGTAATAAGATCCGGATACCGGTGGTTTATATATAAAAAAAAAATGTTCGTGAACAAGTCGTTTAAGACTTAAATTTTGGCACTCACTTTGTGTTTTCCCCTTGATAGCCTAATATTTTCTTCTCTTTTAGTTATTTTATCTTACATACTGTTTTGATATATTGCCAGCACTCTGCAAATTACAATTTATAACCAAAACTTAGTCTACCTTTGGTTGAATGTAATCTAACCATGTAATAGAATAATGATTATATTACAAGATTAATTACAATATTCGGACAAGTTTTTTTTTTTTTTACACTTTGAAGTAATAATCAAGTCACTCTCTTTGAAATTCTAAATAGTCTCGATCAAAATTCTACCAATTAAAACAAACTAATACCACCGTGGTTGCAACGATTACCTCCACGTATTCAGCTTGATATTTTTAACCAACATGGAAAGTTTCCACAACCGATGTGGTTCAAACCTTTTTCTTGTTCAATCTATTCCTATTGGGATATGATGTCTGTTAGGTAAAATTAGTTATTTTGGTAGTTATTAGCTGTTTTAGTAGCGTTTAACTGTTAGTTGTTGCAGTAATTTTTCATAAAACGTTAAAAGCTAAATATTACATGAATTAACTTTTTATAAAACGCTATCTTAATCTCTAAAAGCTAGCTTAAATATTATGTTATTAAACATTATAAAAAATAATGTCAATTAAAACGCTAAAACGTTAAAAACTATTTAAAAAGTTAGTGTAGAATATAACTATGGTCATTGTCATGATTTTAAGTGGAAGAAAACAAAGTCTTCCTACTTAATCATTTTTCTCACTTCCAACTGAGTCCTTTGAACCTTACTTGGATTATTGAAGAAAAAGATAGCAAGAGAGAATAAAAATATTTAATTTAAAGAAGAGGACCAATTTATCCATTGAAAAGTCCACAACTTTACTTTTCCATTCCAGTCACCATTGCTGACCTCCATCCATTGGATGGCTTTATTTTATTGTTTTTGGTGCAGCACTCTACTAGTATTCTTGACCATTTTTTGTGGATTCACTAATCAATGAATTTTGATTTTATAATCCAAAAACTATTAATAAATGTTAATTAGGTGGTGCGTTTATATTATATCCAATGCAAAATTTTAGATTGAAAATTTAAGCTTATCATTTTAACTAAAAAAAATCTTAGTTTAATTCAAAATTTTAAATAATATGTAAGCAGAGCAGGCCAAACTTTAAAAATAGGAGATAGCCAAAGAAATGTTTCCAAAGTTTAGAGGAGCCAAATAAGTGAAAAAAAAAAAAAAACCATTTTATAAGGTAAAAAGTTTAAAAAACTTTTGGAGCTTGCCCCTCCCTCTTCCTCTTTATGTGAATATGTTATCAAATAATATTTAAAAGTGCTCAACGTTCTAATTTTAGATCTGAATTCATATTATTAACTCATTTCTTCGTATTAACGATTTCAATTATTCTTTGACTTCAATTGATTTGAAAGTACTACCAGCTAAATATTTGATTATACAATACTTAATTAGTTACTATATATTAATAAAAAAAGAGATTGAAATTGACATTATTATTAAATATGGGGCTACATGCAATTTAATTAACAAAAAAAAAAAAAAAAAAAAAAAAAAAAAATGAAATTCAAATATTATTAACCTCATTTCTTCGTATTAACGATTTCGAATAAATTTATTTCTTTTTGACTTCAATTGATTTGAAAGTACTACCCCAGCTAAATTTTTTGATTATACAAATACTTAATTAGTTACTTAATATATTAATAAAAAAAGAGAATTGAAAATTGAACAATTATTTATTAATAATGGGGCTACATGCAATTTTAATTTAAACCAAAAAAAAAAAAAAAAAAAAAAAAAACACCCATTTAGTGACCATAAAAGGAAAAAAAAAAAAAAAAAAAAAAAAAAAAAAAAACACACTTTGTGACCAATAAAAGGTATAATTGCAGAAATTAAAGCACCTCAATCTCACCAAAATAACACCAATCAGCATATCTTAAGAATGTAAATTCTTCATGGCAATTGCAAAAGAGGGATTAGTGAGACTGAAACCTCCATCAACAACCAAATTGAGTCCACTAACATACTTAGACTCATCACTTGCCAAATACAAAGCAGCATTTGCAATATCTTCTGGTTCCAATAACACTGTCTTCAAATTCCCAATTGAAGAAATAAATTCCTCAGCTGCTCTCTTATCACTTATCCCCAAAAGACTTTTCATCATCGGAGTTACCACGGTAAATGGTGAAATGGCATTTACTCTTATTCCATATTTCCCCAACTCAACACTTAAATTCTTTGCAAGACCTACCACTGCATGTTTTGAGGCTGCATATGCATGAGAAGACTCACCTAAACAAACAGAAACTGCGCTTGCTGTAAAAAGTATGCAACCTTTCTTTTCCGGTATCATAACTCTTGCGGCGTGTTTGGCTCCCAAGAAAGGACCAAAAACATTCACATCAAATACTTTTTTGAATTCTTCATTATCTGATCCTAAAATGTTTGCTCCTGGGCTACCGGAAACTCCAGCGTTGTTGAACATTATGTCTAGTTTACCATATCTTGAAACGGCGGTGTCAACTGCGTTTTTGACATCGGAGTCGCTAGTTACGTTGCAGTGGATATAAGAGATGATTTCTTGATTGTTAAATTCTTGGCAAATGGAATGACCAAGATCGTCTTGGACATCTGCGATAAGGACCTTAGCTCCTTGTTCGACAAATAGCCTGGCCGTGCACTCGCCTATGCCGCTAGCTCCACCAGTTATCAATGCCACCTTTCCTTCAAGCCTGCAAAATTAATTAAGAAAAGCATTTTTAGTTTATTTTTCTTTTCTAAAAATTCTTTATTTTGTCGTATCCAGAATTTTGCAAAAGAAAGTAAAGAAATACCTTCTGGTGGTGGAAGTTGCTGCCATCTCCTTGGGGAATTAATAAGCTGATGAATGACACAGAAGCTGGTTAGTGAGGAGATAGTTCAGAGGCTAATATTTATGCTTGTGAACGGTTTAGTCTTTGTTGATTGGAAATTTATAGGCACGGGCCATTTGTACATTTGGAAGTCAAAGAAAAGAAAATTAAAGCCACTTGATGTGGTTGCCCATGTGACGTGGACAGCAGGTTGCTCATAGTACCTTATTCAAACAATAATTATTTTCCGAAAATAATTTAATTTTAAATATAAATAATTTATTTTTATTGGTGATAATAGTAAAAATTAATTAAAAATATTAAAATTTTAATTTATTTTAAAACTTCGTTATTAAATATAAAAATAATAAATTGCGTTAGTTATTAGTGATTGATGATAAATTATCGATATTAAGCAATGATTAATAATTATCACTATCTATAATTAATATGTGTTCCGAACAACACATTGAATTAGCAGCACAAGCTGCGAGGGATGGAATTGTCCTGCTAAAAAATAATGATGATACTTTACCCTTGAAGTCTGATACGATCAAAACCTTAGCTATGGTTGGTCCTCATGCTAACGCTACAAAGGCTATGATTGGAAATTATGCAGGTACATATTTTTTAAATACAAAACATTTCAATTGTATTATAAATATAATTAACATTTTGATTACAGGAATTCCATGCCGATATTTCTCTCCTATTGATGGGTTTTCGACATATGCAAAAGTGAGTTATGCAATTGGATGCGTCGACGTTGCTTGTAGGGATGACAAATTGGTATTCCCAGCAATGCAAGTTGCACAGGAAGCTGATGCTACTATAATAGTAGCTGGTATTGACTTGCCTGTTGAAGCAGAAACCAGAGATCGGGAGGATCTCCTCCTTCCTGGTTACCAAACTGAACTTTTCAACAATGTTGCGAATGCTGCCAAAGGTCCAATTATTCTCGTAATCATGTCAGCAGGAGGAATAGATATCACTTTCGCTAAAAACAATGTCAATATCAAAGCCATTTTGTGGGCTCGATACCCTGGAGTAGAAGGTGGTCGGGCCATTGCAGATGTTGTTTTCGGAAAATACAATCCTGGTAATTTACTGACTAGTAGTTTTTAATTAAGAAATTTCAGTTTTTAATAATTTTTGTAATTTTTTTTATCTTTTTTTTTTTCGGTTCAGGAGGAAGACTACCACTTACTTGGCATCAAACAGATTTTGTTGATCAACTACCAAAGACATCTCTACATTTTATATAGCATATTCTGAGAACCGGACGGGTCAGTCTAGAAAGTTTGACCGGATTCAATACGGTTCGATCGAATTTTTATATATAATATTTTTAAATATATTTATTAAATAAAATTGAAAATATAGGTTTAAAAAAATTTTAATCTCAAATAAAAAAAACAGTTCCAAATTCCGCGTTTATAAAATGAACAAAACATTTTAAATAAAAATAAAAATATATGAATAAATTTAATACTAAAAAAATTAATTAGTTACCATAAAATATATTATTATGTTTCATATGTGGTTAAGGTTAGACAATTTAATTATTTTAATTAGCATAATAGTATTTTGGGTTTAGCAATAAAGTTGCCAAAAAATATAAAAATCGGTGGGCCCAATTTTCAAAAAAGCCTACATTTTATGGAAAAAAACTAGAAATCAAATCAAACCGATTTTTAACCCGTCTGGTTCACCAATTTTTAGCTGGTTTTCATCCGATTTTATCGGTTCATACCATTTTTTATACACCTAATTTTCTAGTGCAATGTGGACCGGATCATAATTTGATTTCCGGTTGAATCCGTTGGTCCGGTCTATTTTTCAGAATAATGATTATTAGTCAAGACAACTTGGTATAATGATAGGTATGCACTTAACCATAAAGGTTATGTTCGACAATCACTTTTTAAATAACTTTTAGGATGTTGATTACTATTTTTAATAGTGTTCAGTAATATAATATTTGAACAAATTTTGAAAGGTTAAGATAGCGTTTTATAAAAGATTAACCCATGTAACGTTGAACTTTTAACATTTTTTAAAAATCTATTCAAACAGCTACTAGCTATTAAAACAATTAAATGTTATTAAAACAGCTAATAACTATCAAAACATCCGATTTTACCGAACATGCTCAAAGTCGAGTTTTGAAATCAACATCTTGAAAGTGATTTTAACAATAATCGCCTTATAATTCGACAGAGATGTCTTTCATCCAACTGTCAAAGGAAAGGTGTAAATTACACTTGCTAACTTAAAGAAAAAAGGTTTTGATCATTATAATCTAATATATACATCTTACATCTTATAAGGATTTGAAGGCCACTAAAATAATCTGATTTATGATTTTCAAAAGACTTTTGATTTAAATTGAAAATTGTAAATTGAAAATTTTTTTAAAAAATTATTTATTGTGTAAATCAAAGTTTTGATAAATAAAAGGGAAAATTATTATTTAGTCCTTCAGGTTTTACATAATTATCCAACTAATCCCGACGTTTAAGCTAATATATAACTAGTCCCTCAGGTTCTAGTCCCTCAGGTTTAACTCCGTCTAATTAAAAGGTCCTTCCGTCCGAAAAGTTAATTTTTTTCCGTTAATTGAAGATTAAAAGACTAAAATACCCCTCCCTCGCTGACGTGGACCAGTATGACCTTCCAAGCGAGGGAAACGAAAGATCAGACAGCCATGCTCAACCTGAGCACGTGTCCTATTTCTCCACCATTGCAGCCGCTGCTTCCGCCGCTGCTAACCAGAACACCACTTTTGATTTCGCTCCGCCACCTCTCCTCCCTATGATAGCGGATCCATTGGTCGGTTCAGACAGCCATGCTCAACCTGAGCACGTGTCCTGTTTCTCCACCATTGCAGCCGCTGCTAACCAGAACACCACTTTTGATTTCGCTCCGCCACCTCTCCTCCCTATGACAGCGGATCCATTTGGTCGGTTCCCAAGAAACATGGGTGTCTCAGCTTTCCTTCCCAAGAAACATGGGTGTCTCAGCTTTCCCTAGTTTGAGGTCTCTGCAAGAGAATCTTCAGTTACCTTTCTCTTTCTCTTCTCCATCCCCAGTTGTGGCTGCTGCGCCATTTAATGGAGGTGGTACCACTACTGGCATGAATTGGATGGCAACAGGTTCGGAGGAGGGTGGTGCTACCAACGTTGGTGCTGCTAATGGTGGTTCCAGTGGTGGTGGAAGGGTGGCGATGGGTCCCACCAAGCTTGACTGCATGTGGACCTACTAATCAGTCTTTTAATTGAAATTATTAATGTATTTACTGTGTTAATTACTTGTGTTTTGTTATTATCTTATGTAATGTCTCTTTTAAGACTATTAATCAGTTTTTATGTGATGTTTTAAATATTAGCTTTTGGGTTATGATTAGGGGTACTGGTGTAGTTGTAGGTTTTAAAAGATTTTCAGGTTAATTATGATATGGTGATTTAGCGAGGGAGGGGTGTTTTAGTCTTTTAGTCTTCAATTAACGGAAAAAACCGACTTTTCGGATGGAATGACCTTTTAATTAGATGGAGTTAAACCTGAGGGACTAATTATATATTAGCTTAAATGTCGGGATTAGTTGGATAATTATGTAAAACCTGAGGGACTAAATAATAATTTTCCCTAAATAAAATAAAGAACAATTTAAAACATATCGAACTGGAGGAAATTGTGATTTAAACTACTTGAAAACTAAAGAACAATTGATTAAAAGTGAATCGAAATTCGAAACAGATCGAATTGACTGAGACTATAAATTCAACTTGAAGAGCGAGAAGAACCCAAAACATCATCTTTGCCTCCAATCAATTTCTGTGAACTCAGTGTCAATGAACAGCTACTAGACTTCTTATAAGTCGTTCTTAGTCTCTCCTTCACGCTCGCACATCATTCTCTATCTACTTGGCTTCTTCTTTACACGATAAAGAGAGTGAGAGAGATGCTTCAGACGATGTCACCATCTTTGGCGATTCATAGTTAAAAGGTTAGTAGTAAACTACTTTTCCTTTTGTTCTAAGCATTTCTCCCATAGTAATTGTTGGATTTGGTTGAGTTTTGGTAAAAATCATCATTGATGGTGCCTTGAGATTATTAGCATGGCTATCTCCGCTAATTGGACAAACATCACATCAAATTAATACCAAACTTGTGATCCTTGTGATTAAAGAAGTAAATTGGTATATTTTTTATGGCAATCCAATTTTCTAGCCCTGCCGCCCCAACAATAATGATGGCAAAAGTGGTCGTCGGTGGAATAATTCCGAAGTTCTGACAAGTCATAGAAGACATAATCTTCGTCTTTTTGTGTGGATTGCGATAATATAAGCATTCTTTTTAATAGGTGAGTATTAGGCTCTGATTCCAGTTCACTACAAAAAAATGGATTTTAGTAAACGAATTTAGCGGTTGACTTGACGCTTTCGCTAAATAGTGACAGATCAGCGGCCGACTATGAGGGAAACTGAACGTGAAACTTGTGTACTTTTACCGACAGAATCAGCAACTATTAACGACAGGTATAGCGAGGGACCCAACATCCGTCACTCATTTTCACGCGAAGAATTGGAGCCAACCAAAGGTAAAGATCAGCGACTAATCAATGACCACCATGACGATGAAATAGCGACGGGTGTGGATTCCTAGCTATATTTGACGGGAATTAATAGTGACCAATTAGCGATTATTGGGAAACAGATGTGACGATCAAAATTCCAATAACATTAGCGACCGAGTTGATAATATAGCGACAGAACTTATTTGCCATGTCAATTAAAATAGCGACCGATTTTGTTAAATTACGATCGATACGGCGGTCGCTAATTTTGTAGGGCGATTTAGTCGCCTTTCTCTCTCACGCGAGACTAATTTCAAAAAATCAGTCTCATGCCTCTCTCCCTCCCTCTCTGTCTACTTGCTCCCTCTACATCTCTAGCCCTATCTCTCACTTCCGCACCGGTGAAGAGCGCAGCTCGTCTCGCTGCCGTCGAGCAGCACCGCAAGTAAGTAATTTATTTTTTATTTTTTATTTTTTTGTACTCAGTAGTGCAACAACTGTCTTCAATTTTCTTTTTGCATTTTTATTTATTTTTTATTTTTTTGTTTGCATTTCATTTTATGTCGATTTTGTTTGTAGTTTTAGTTAGTTGTTCATAGTTTTATGTCGATTGTTTGGTTTATTTGGATTTTTTTTTTTTTTTTTTTTTTTTTTTTCGGATTGTTGGTTTATTTGGATTTTTTTTTTTTTTTTTTGTTTTTTTCTGTTACGGGTTTATTTTTTTTTTTTTTTTTTTTTTTTTTCTGTTACGGGTTTATATTGTTTTTGTGGTTTCGTTGTTTCCTTTTTGTAGTTATTCTGACTTTACATTTGATTGTGTATTTTTTTGGTTTAATATTTTGTTGTTTGTTATTTTTTAGATATTAGGCTGTAAATTTGAGTTTTTATTTTAGTTTTAATATAAAAATGTTGATGGAAATTTATGTTTTTGTTAAATTCCAATTTGTTAATTTGAGTTTGATAATAAAATGGTTTGTTAATGAAGCTGTTAATTTGAGATTGTTAATAAAATGGTTTGTTAATGAAAATGATTTTTGAATATTTGGTTAATTTGTTAATGTATTTGTTAATAAAAATGATTTTTAGGATAGTTAGTTTGTTAATTAGTTTTCTTTGTTAATTAGGACAGTTTTTAATTAGGTTAGTTTGTTATTTACATTACCTTGATAATTAGTTTCTAATTTTGGTCAATTAATATTCTACTTAATTTGCTAAAAAAGATTCATTTAAAATTTATAGATTCAAGCATCTCAGCACATTTGTGAAATCTCGCAAATCCAGTAGTCATTTTCTTTATCTTTCTTTCTTTATGTAGTAGGTTTTAATTAGGAAAGTAATAAAAAATAAGTTAGAGAAAGCATAAACTTAATAATTCTAATCTAAAGAATAAAACATAATGATCACATAAACTTAATTAGGAAAGTGATAAACAAGAATTTATCATAAGCTATATTTTTATTATAATGTAAGTAGTGTACTAATTTTAGCTTTTTAATTAGGAAAGCATAAAACTTAGCATAATCATAACAAACATAGGAATTAAAAGCATATAATTAAAGATTCATATGAATTAAAAGCATAAAACTTAAACATTTATATGAATTAAAAGCATAAAACTAAACATTGTTTATATAAATTAAAAGCATAAAACTTAAAGATTCATGTGAATTAAGAGCATAAAACTTAAAGATGCATATGAATTCAAAGCCTAGTTAGCATATTTTTTTTATTACGCATTTGATTGCAGTTTATTGAATTTTATGAATTTATCGACGACTTGTGTTGATTGGAGGCCTAATAGTGGCCATTGATGTGAATATTGCTTTATAGAAGTATTTCATTTTATTTGTGTATGGAATGTAATAATTGGAGGCCTACTAGTGATTATTGATGTGGATATTGAGTTATAGAAGAGTTTTTTTTTTTTGTTTGAAAATTTTGATTTGTTGGTTTTTAAGGGGAAATATTGTCGAATTTTTCCTTGAAAATATCATAATGAACCATAATGAACCTAATTAATATAAATACAAGTACCTTAGAGAATTGGTAAGGAAAATCCCCTTAGAGAATTTTATGTAGCTTCATTTTTTAAGCTTGATTATTAAATGTATTTGAAAATGTTTCGCATTTTATGAAATGTATTGCAGGCCAATAAGTTGAACCGTCAGCCTATCCCTATGGAAGTCTTCATATTTACACATAAGAAGGACCATGATGCAGTCACATTCATTGATAGGCGTGCCGAGCTTGTTAGTGTAAGCACGATTGAATATTTTTTCTGTTTTTCCATCTAAATTTAAATATTTTTGCATTGTTCTAATCTTGCTGTATTCTATATTTGTAAAGATAACTACACTATTAGGAAAGAGTGAGCTACTGCATCTCCGGCTCAAACTGCTGAGCAGCCTATGATCGAGGAGTTGCAGTTTTATCTTTAGGCTGCAGGAGGCGAGAAGAAGAGAAAAGTGTATAGGATTGATTTACAGTCAGACATTTTCTATAGCCGCACGTATGGGGCTTAGCGAGTAGAGCCACACTAGTTGAGCCAGAGGCACGTACTGAGGAGATTCAAGATTTACGGGCTGAACTTTAGGCGTAGCAGCAGCACATATCACAACTTATATTGCAGCAGCAGTAGCTGATGCATATGTATGCTTGAGAATGGCCTACTACACTGCCAACTCTCTCTGCACCGATAGATCACTTTGATTCCCCAACTTCTTCAACATTGCCTGCTTCTCAGAGTCCCATTACAAATCTTGCAGATCAAACCCCCTTAGACTTTTTTTATTATCATGTTTATTTTGTATATATATTACTGTATAATTTGTATAATTTTATCCACACATTAATAATAATTTTTTTTGAAAATTTAGAATTTTTTTTTCATTGATGCGATTGTGAAATACCCCGAAGTTTTATTTTCGAAACTTTCGAATTTTTTATTAAATCAAAAATCAGAAATTTTGATCGTGTGGGCTGCAAGTATAATAAAATCTCAATTCGAGCCCAAAATTCGAGCCCAAGTTTGCGAGTTAGGCCTCAAGCCCCAAATATATCATCAAAGATTTTCGATTTGAGGAACAGTTAAAATTTTTCAAGAGATAAATATGAAACTCTAGCAATTTAAATTTATATGAATATATATAAATTAATTATCCTTGAAAAATCAAATTGATTTCTCGGAAAAAAAACCACACGAATAAACACTGAAACCAAGTGAAAAACCTGCAAAACGAGCAAAATCGAGCCCAAATCATTGAATCAGACCAAATCATTGAATCAGACCAAATCGGTTCGAATAGAACTGGAATGATCTAGAAACCGACTTAGTTTCTTCTTTTCTTCCTCTCTTCTTCTTCTTCTTCTGCACGCGCGACAGTCTCCTCCTCCTCACTTTCCTTCTCATTTCCAACCACCGCTCGACGAGAGCGAGGTGGCGATCGTCTTCCCTAGAGTCTCTGGTCCATTTTCCGGCCTCCTTCCCCGCTAGTAGAGCCTTCAGTGGCGCGAACGAGCCTTCAGTTCTCGTTCTTCGATCTCCGGTGATACCAGGCGATTTTGGCAACGTGAAGCTTCAAGGTGAGCTCTGATTGATTCCCCTGTCTTGTGTGAATAATTTTCATCCAAGAAACGACGGTTTTGGTGGAAGGAACTGGAACCACCATAAATGCTGGTAAGGGGCGACTGTCAAGCTCGTTTCGACCAACTAGAGGGTTGATCTCACTAAACCAACGCCGAAAATGGAATCCTTGGTGAATTTCGAGTTGAATGGTATGATCGTGGCAAATTTCTGGGCATTATTGATTTTCCGGCCATCGTAAACCGCGGCGGCGGAGGCGTTCCGATGACCGGCCGGCGAGACTCCGGCGAGACACCAAGGACAGAATTTTTCTCTCTTCGCGAGGATCGTGGAATCGTCACCCAAATTTCAATTGGTACGTTCTAAGATCAATTTCCTATTTTTGGTATAAATCCTAAACTTAATAATTATTAGTTGATTAAATTAAATTTGAATGAATAATCAATCAAATATAATTTTTGCTAAGAATCAATCGGTATCATGTAGATGCAAATTAGTTCTGCATATTGTTATATATACTTCATGAACATTAGTTACAACTAGAAGGTTCGGTATTAATATAAGAATTCCTAGCTAATATTTATGTAAGCTAATTTAGGAATTTTAATAAATATTGGTAGAAGCTAATTTAGGAATTTTTAATAAATATTGGTAGGGGCAGCATTTATAATTTAAGCTGACAAAGTAAATAGTTTTATAAAGCCAATTAATAATTATCATTGGAATCATGCTTGGGAGGTTAATATAGTTTGTTAATTAGTTAATTTGGAACTGTTAAGTGTATATTAGTTAGAGAACAAGTAATAATATCGTTGGAACATGCTTGGAGGTTATTATAATTTGTAAATTAATTGGTGCATGTTGACATGGTTGTTTTGAAAGGAGGATGTGAATTAAGCTGATTGATTGCCCGACGGATGAGTTGTGTGTATTGATTGAGAAATATATAATATTGTGATATTTAAATAGGTGGATAGTCCAATTTTTAGGGGAAATGCTGCTGAAATTTCGATAGAACCTAGATTAGTTTTAATTAATAACATAATTAATAAATTGATTTAGATTAATTCTATAACTTAATACATAATAAATAGAGTGCTCTAATTATTTATTTATTATCTTTATTATTTATTTATTTTCATTGTTATTGTTTATTATTATCATTTATTTTATTGTTGTTGTTTATTGTTAATAGTATTTATTTAATTATTTAATTGTATTATTTGCATTGATTTTGATGTTTAATTGTGGCATCTGCATTACGATGTTTAATTGATTTAATATGTCTGCATTTTGATTGCAAATGTTTGATTAATTGTGTTGTGATTAATGCTATTGCTCTGTTGCTTGTGGGAATTAGAATGAAGTGGGTCACCATGGTGTGAGACGGCGATTTAAATATCGATCCTGATGATGAAAACTATGCAAACTTGGGACCGTCGCGCGGGTAAATGGGAGATCGGCGTCCCGTGTGCACCTGATGAACTGATGAAATGATGTTTGATGATATGGAAAAGAAAAGGAGAAAAATGCTTAAAATAATATTGACGAGGACTTGGTCAAGTGAGAATTAGACCCGATCTGCCAGAGGATGGGGATTGCGCTCCCTTTGGTGCCACATAGTTTGAATTGAGGATGGACTGTTTGAGAGGACGACTCGTGGGGGTTTAGGTGACGCCACTTGACTAATTTCCCACGTGATGTGATTATTTGAAGCGTGATATTAATGTGAGTGGCTGGGTGATATGCCATTTGTTGTGACTTTGACTGTTTGTGTGACTGACTGTATGAGCATATAACTAGTCGGATGACTAGATTGATGTATTTACACATTTGTGTGAATGTGTGTGTTGTGCAATAATAGTTACTCATTAGAAAGCTCACATATCTTGTTCAATTTTTCAGGAAGTAATTTCTCTTTAATTCGGTCAAGCTATGTTCCTTCGCTGCAGGTCTAGAAAGAAAATTTTCCTAGTTCAATAATTATTTTGCTGTGTATCTATATGTATAAAAAATCTATGTATATCTATCAGTTAGTGACTCCGCAGTTGTAGAATTTCTTTACATTTAGTCGTGTATTATCATAGACGAAATTATTCTGTGAGTCCATATTAAAAATGTGATGTATTGTTAATTGGGCCCGAACTGTGGAATGTAATGTAGGTAGCTGATTAAATTTGGCCGAGATTTAACAAAATCCTTGAGGTTTATTTTCCTTAAAATATGGGCTGAATGTTTAAAATTATATGAGATAGTAAATTTTTACGGAGGTTTATTTTCCTATAAATATGGGCTGAATGTTTAAAATTATATTGAGATAGTAAATTTTTAGTGTTTTAGGCTTACTACAGGCCTCGGGGGCTTTAAGCTTACTTGGGCTCTAGTGCCGGTCCGGCCTATGGAATCGGGTCATGATAGATTGTTTGTGTTAATTACGTGAATCATCATATATTGCCATTTTTTACATGTGAAAATTTTTTGTTGTCAAAATTTTAAATTTTATTTTTTTATTTCAAAAAAATAGTGACAGCTGAGAGACAGAACGATGGATAACAATATTTTGAAAATTAATTCTTACAAATATAGCGACTGATTGGTGACAGCCTTAGGGATAAATTCGCTAGTCGAGGACTAGCGACTGACGTAATTAGCGACTGAATAGTGACTACAAAATCTTTAATGGGAGTAAGCGAGTCAGCGACCGCTTCAGCAATTTTAGCAACCGATTTTGCAGATGGTCTTCTTATTCAGTCGCTAAGTAATTAGCGACAAGATATTGGACGATGGATTACAATGTTTGCCGATGGAACACTATATTTGTTTTAGCGACAGAAAAAAAATTAGCTACCAATTTTTTGGTCGCTAAATATATATTTTTTTAGTGATTTAATTATAATTTTTTGAATAGTATTATTAATTTAATTTAGTTAAATTGTGAATTATTAAATCAATTATCTTGATAATTAAAATTAGTTAGTGAATGTAATAAAGTTTAGATTTGTTTCTTTTTAAAGAACAATGGAGTTTCTATCGGATGATATGCAAACGAGTTTGTCAAATCAATCAATTTTAAATTTTGAATTTAAATTAAGCCATTATTTGAAACCAAATTAGATTAGGGTACTGACCTGTCAAAGAGTAATTAAATATAAAACATAAAAAGTAATAAATTGAATGAAAAATTTTATGAATCATATAAGAAGAATAATTCACTTTAGTTCTCTATATATATATATATAGGTATAAGTTATATATAAGACTCCGTTTAGAGGGATAGTATTTCTTGACATTGAGCCGAAAATGCCGTTTTTCTTTAGAAAGAAGAGGTAGAGTTCCCGGACCTAAAGTCGAAAGGCTCCAATATTGGAGGGATAAAACTCCTTGTGCACGCGGATGAAACCAGGTGAGAGGGAACAATTTATCCAAGAAAAGTTGGTGATGCCACTGACTAATATCAATTATTTGGTTACTTGTGTAATGTGCTACTGGATGTGTTTGCCTTGTTTGTCATTGTATGAACGAACGTATTCTTATAATTAGAAATAATAAATCAACCACATATCGTATGGCTGTGGGGTGAGAGAATTACCGAACTCTATTCACTAAGTTGAAACACTCATGCCCTTATTTCAAATATTTTTTTAGGTTGCAGGTTTTCCATTATGATGTACTTCTCTACAACCAGTTATCTAGAAGAGTTATGGAAGGCAACAACTATGTTCTAATTAAGAATCATAAATATAATATTTGAATCCTCATATTGTTCCACAATTACCGTAAGTACATGTAATAAGATTATCTAAACAGCTTTTGAATTCAAATATTGGAGAAAAAATATTGCTCTATATTTTATTTCTCAAGTATCAATGTTCAGCTACAGGGAGAATTTATATACAAAAAGAGAATGATCTAGAATTAGCTAAATGTCTAAATCTAATTGGTAGATAAATTCTGTACATTGGATTATATTGCTGAAATAAATGAATGGAAATGATTGAATCAGCATAAATGAATGGAAATGATTGAATCAGCAAATGATGGACAATGATTGGCTAATGATTAGTTATTGCTGTTGGGCTCTGTTGGGCTGTGCTGTGGTGATTGTTGACAGGCTGTAAGGTGGTTGAGTTAGTTATTTAGGTATGGATTATTCTGTACAGCCCCCCTTCAAGGTGGAGATGGGGGAGTGACGCTAATCCCAGCTTGAGAATGAAATGATGAAAGGTAGGAAATGGAAGTGGTTTGGTGAAAAGGTCAGCTGGTTGTTGTTTTGAAGAGATGTGGGGAGTGGTTATAAACCCGGAGGATAATTTGGATCTAACAATGTGACAATCTATATCAATATGTTTTGTCCTTTCATGAAAGATAGGATTAGAAGTAATATGGATGGCAGCTTTATTGTCACAATAAAGAGGTATGGGGAGGGTGATATCTGCAGATTGATCTACTAACAGTTTGTGTTTTTGGAATTTCCTGAAATGATTTGTTGTTTCTTGGATTTCCATGAAATGAGAGAATCTCCAAGAAAGATGCAAAAACCAGTGACAGATTTTCTGGTTTCTACACAAGCAGCCCAGTCTGCATCTGAATATGCAGTAATTTGAAAGTTGTTATTGCTTGGGAAAAATAATCCAACAGATAAGGTGCCGAGAAGATACTTTACAATATGCAGAGCAGCTTTGTAGTGGAAAGATCAAGGACTTTGCATATACTGACTCAACTGCTATACAGCAAAGGAAATGTCAGGCCTTGTGAGTGACAAGTAAAGTAATCTACCAAGCAATTTTCTGAAAGGTTCAGGATCAGGAAGTAAATTATCCATATTAGCTGTTAACTTGGTGCCCTGACTGTATGGAGTTTGTGCTGGTTTGGCTGTAGATAAACCAGTGTCTGAGATTATATTAGTGATGAATTGCTGTTGAGAAAGAATCATTCCGTGCTGTGATCTAGCAATTTCAATGCCTAAAAAATATTTGGCTTTCCCAAGATCTTTGATAGTGAATCTAGAATGCAAGGATTGTTTGAGATCACAAATGAGACTGAAATTATTTCCTACAATTAAACAGTCATCAACATATACTAATAAAGATAGGAAATTATTTTCAGACCCTTGTGTGAATAAGCAATGGTCATTTGGTGATTGAATAAAGCCCAAAGATAAAAGAAAGGAAGTAAATTCCTTATTTCATTGCCGCCCAGCTTGTTTGAGACTATAGAGGGACTTCAATAATTTGCAAACCTTACTTGGTATTACCTGTGGAGGTGACATATAGATATCTTCCAGTAATTTCACCAATGAAGATATGCATTGTTAATATCTATTAATATCTAGTTGGTGAATGTGCCATGACTTTGCAGTAGCAATAGATAAGAAGGTTCTGACTGTTACCAATTTAGCAACAGGAGAAAATGTGTCAGTGAAGTCAATTCCAGGGATTTGACTATACCCTTTAGCTACAAGCCTTGCTTTATACCTGTCTATGCTCCCATTAGGATTATGTTTGATTCTGTATATCCATTTGTTCCCAATTGGTTTTTTTCCTTTTGGCAGATTAGTGATGACCCATGTCTGGTTTTGTTCCAGGGCTTTAAGTTCAAGTTCCATGGCAGCTACCCACTTACTATCACTTCTGGCTTGACTGTAAGACTTAGGTTCCTGAATATTTGACACTTGAGCAACAAAATTATGATGAGGTATTGTGGGAGAAAAGGAGAGTAAAGATGTTTGTGTACCTGATTATTAGCAAGCTGGGCTATACTGCTGGATTAGTAGTTGGCAACGAAAAATCATCCAACCATCTTGGCTTGTATGTGTCTTGTGCTCCTTCTTATTTGCAAATCAGGTTGTTGGAATTTGGGTTTGGTTTCAAGTGGTTTTAGTTGGTTTTGATGGTTGAGTCTAGTTCTGGTTAAGGTATGGTAAGGTATGTTCTGGTGTAAGGTGCTGTGTAGGGGCTTGAGGTGCTGGTGGAGAAGGTGTATCAGTTTGTAAAGGTTGGGAATAAGAAGAAAGATTATGGTCAGTAATGTATTTTGGCAAGGAAGAGTGGGCAACTGATTCTGGATGATTGTTAGAGAAGGGAAATATATGCTCATGAAAGACAGTATCCCTTGAGTGAAAAAGGGTTTTGGACTCGAGATTATATAATCTATACCCTTTATGTTGGTTTGAGTAGCCAATCAGTACTGAAGGAGAAGCTCTCTTTTGAAATTTGGTTTTGTGTGGGGTAACATCTGTGGCACAGCAGAGACAACCTATGGTTTTGAAATAGGTGAGAATAAGGAAATGTCAAGGGATTTTATTGTAAGAGTTTTGATATGGAGCGGTCCCATGAAGGGGGTTCTGAAGGATAAATCTATTCGTGACTATATCGTGGCAAGTAGAGCGAGCAACTCAGACCAGAAATTGTAGGAAAATAAGATATGAAAACATAGGTGATCTGGCTACTTAACTAAGGATTCTGTGTTTCATCTTCAACCTCATTCATTTGTGAGAGGGAAAATAAACACACAGGATTTTTGGTGAACAATGCCTAAATTTCAAATAAAGAAATGCAAACTGGAATAATAAATACTGCCATATCAATTCGGATCTGCTTTGACTCTTTTTAATTGAATGTGGGTTTGAACAAAGTTAAAATAATGTGGTTAAGGCTTGGTGAACTTGTCTTTTGAAATGTAATGAAAGTCCAGGTATATCCTTGACATTATCATCAACAATTAAGCATATAGAAAGCATTTAATAGATCTTGACCCCATAGGGCCTCCCCCAAATGTCAGATGTGTAAAGATCAAAGCATGAACTAGAAATAGAATTACTGGATAAAATGGTACTGAACTGTTTGAAAGAGGACAAAACAGGACATATAAAGGATGAAAAATCACATTTAGTTAAATTGCAATATGCTTGATATCTTTTGGAAGACAAAATAGGTCCTAAATGCTCATATGTCCATAAGAAATCTCTTATGGCTGGGACGAATCTGAGTCTTTTTTGTTATGAATTTTGATTGTTGCTTGGAAAAAGTAAAAAGAGTCTTTGGTGAAGTAGTAAGGCCTGCCAACATGACTACATCCAGAAAGCAATGTGTACCTCAGTCCTAGCATACCTGGAAAAGGAAACAGTATATTTGAAATAATGGATGCAAGATAAAGCAGGTAACTAGTTAATGTATAGCTAACACTGATAAGTTACATTTCAAAGGGTCAGGGTACAATATAGGACATTATGCATGTAAAGCTTAGAGTTGAAATCACTTTTCCATATATGTGATCACTATCTTAAAAACCTGTTCCAATCAAAGCAGCTTAAGGAATTATGGGTTGTGGTAAGATTATGCAAGGAAACAAAAAAGAGTTGAATAAAAGTGAGTGTAGATCAGTTGCTCCGCAGTCAATAATCTAGTTTACCGTTAATCATTTTTAAAATCAAAATAACCAGAGAATGAGGGAAAGTAAATGGCTACTGAATGAAATTGAACAATTATTAGCAGCAGCATCAGAATGTATCAGGGTTGTGAGAAATTGGATTTGCCTGGACTGCTCTGTTCACTTTCTTGCTGAATAAACTGACTGAGATGAAGGACTTGATTGTGTCATAATTGGTTGCAGGAGGCATTTGGAGCTGAGAATGTCAAGTGGTGATTCTATGCAACAATATTATGAACTGGAAGCAAATTGCAGTTTGGTTGCTTGCCCCTTCCTCTCGTGATCAAAATACCAGTTCTGGATATCCAATCAACTTGAAGAGCTTATTTTTGTAGTCCAGTTCTTTATAGTGAGTGCAGTATCTGTCAGCCCTTTGTTCTGTGGTTTCCCTTGTCTTTTCCCTCTGATTGTTTCTATCTGATAAGCGTACAATTAGGTCTGATTGTGCTTGATTGAGTGAGAAAGCATTATTGCTGTAAATTTGATGATTCAATGGGCTGGTGATGAATCTCCCTTTGTTTTCCTCGACACTCAGGATCATACTGAAGGTTTGACTAAACAGGAGGCATGGATTCCATAATCCCAGATATTGTTTCTGGTATTACATACCTCCATTGTTGAGTCCCATCAAAATTGCATTAGTTTAAATCATTTTCTTTCAAGCTGTGAAAAAGAATGAGCAGCTCCACAATGTGCATGACAGGTAGAGTTCTAATAGAAGACAATTCATATCCATTTTGCTGTTTGAGACAGAGAGTAATTTCATAACAGATTGGTATCTTGAACGATATTTGCTAGATCCTAAGAATTGGATTCAAGAGGACCATTAAACTTGGCCATAATATGGGTAACTTCACCCACAAAATCCTTGCAGTAGGACAGAAAACAGAAATTATCAGCACTCTTCTTTAGACATGAATTTAATAGCCAAGATATAACCATACTATCTGTGTTCTAAAGCCGCCAGTTCAAGTCATAGTTAACAAAGCGAGTAGCTTCAGGACTGACAACCAGACCCAGTAATGAAACCAAGCTTATTCCTTTGCCCTTAAAAACAATCTTAAACAGATCTACTCCAAGAATAAAATTACCAAGGATTCAATTTAATGCTTATAGAGATGCCAGAGCGAATTGAGCAGTTGTACCAAGACTTAACGGATCAGAACTCATTAATTATTAACCATTATTGCAGTGGTATTATCATCCATTTCAAGATAAAAACAAGAAAGCAAGTGAAAGCAGCAAGAAGGTTTAAGACAAAGGAAATAAATGAAAGTTTCTGAAATTCAAACCTGCACGGCTTCTGATACCATAATCATGCATTTTGAATTCAAATTATTGGACAAAAATATCTGCTCTATATGTTTATTTCTCAAGTATCAATATTCAGCTATAGGAAATTAATACAAAAGAGATTGACTAGATTAGCTAAAATGTCTAAATCTAATTGGTTAGATAAATTTGTACGATTGGATTATATTCGCTGTAAATAATGAATGGAAAGATTGAATCAAGCAGTGGCACAAGAATGGCTAATGATAGTTATTGCTGTTCGGGCTCTTGTAGACTTGCTGTGGTTGATTGTGACAGCTGTAAGATGGTCATGAGTTAGTTTATTTTTAGGTATGGATATTCTGTACATTAATCATAAATAAAGATTTTGCACTTTATTTTCTTACTAGCATATGATCTGGAAAATTTACCGACAAAATTTTAAATTTGGAAATTGAGCAATGGTTGAAGTTGAAAGTTAGCATTAAAGAAAATTGATTTACTGAAAGATTCAATATTTTATCTTTGTTTTTTTTTTTTTTTTTTTTTTTTTTTATAAGAAGATAGGTTTAAATCATTTTCATTAAAAAAAAAATTTTCTTTAGGCGAGACATCTTTCGGATTTACATGTTCATTTTATTTGTTGAGTTATTTTACATTGAATAATAAACCCGCTAAATAGTTGAGAATGTATAAGTAAATTTAGTTAAAAATAGAATAACAGAATAAAAAAAATAGAATGAACAAATATATAAATTGAATTGTCAATCCGGTTGTTGGTACGATTGTCTTTTCACTTATGTAATGAATGAGAGGTCCGAGTCGAGATCCTTGTTCAACCACAGTTGTTTTCTATCAATTTGGTTGACAGAGAGAGCATACCCTTTAAAGCCCCCAATGAATTAAAAAATATATATATAAAACTTGGAAAAAAAAAAAATTGAAACAAATATTAAAACTAAGCAAACAATTAAATATCAATATATTTAAAGGAAAAAAAAAAAAAAAGAAATCAAAACTGTCCTTTAAAAAACTAAAGACTTTATTCTTGTGCTAACACTACAGTAGGCAATCATAAATTTGTTTATTAATATCAATGGGTGGTAATTTTCAAATTCTAAGTTAAATATAAATTCATAGACAAGAAGCCTCTAAGAGAATCTTTCAATTGCCAACCGAAAGGAGGGATTAGTGAAGCACTGTAGCCTCCATCAACAATTATTGAGTCCACTACTGATATTTAAGAACTCATCAGCTTGCTAGATACAAAGCTGCTTTGCGCTTACATCTTACTGCTTCAAGAACCGCCTCTTTCAAAACCCTGTATGATGAAATCAATCTCTTCCAGCCTTCTTCTGTCTCTCATAATTCAAACTTTGAATACGAAGTGGAGTTGCCAACAGCAAAATGGAAATACTATTAACCCTTATCCCAATATGACACAAATTCCTACGCTGCAAGTTTTGAAAGACCACCAAACGCATATTTTGATGATGCATATGCATGTGGAATGCACATCAACCCTCATCCAATTACTGAAGATAACACCTTGCCCCTTGTAAACAAAATGCTCCACCTTTTCTGGCTGGATCATGAAACTCTAGCTGCG